GCCAGTAGGCCAGTTAATCGTGTTGCATCCATTTCTATTATTAATCGTCTTCTTTCTTTTCATCTGTAAACAAAGTTCTTGCTCAGTTGGCGCCCTGAAATCTTCTGTTTTTTATGCAGTGATTCTGTAATGAGGATTCCCAATAACCGAATGCTGGGTCGTCGTCAAATTATTGATTCAAAGGTATGATCTTGTTTTCTCCATGCTTCCCTTAAATGACAAAGAATGACTTAAGTCGTTGAATTTTATTTTAAGTACTAAACAAAAAGTCAGTGAACTTGCCGCAGGCTGGCCCTTATGTATGGCTCACATATCAGGAGGTTTATGATACTGCCCTTAGAATGGGTTCTTCAATGAGGGGATGCGGTGTTGGGCCTGTAAGTGTAGATTGCATGTATGATGAATTTCTTTTGTGTTCTACATTTTATCCAATTCAGGAACATCTATTAATTGTTCTGTTTTCAGGGTGACCGTTGTGGTATATATGGGTCCAATTGTCCAGAATGGATCATTTCTATGGAGGTATGCCTAATTTTGGTACTTTAAACTCGAGCAAGCAATGGGATGTAATGGAAGAAATAATTCATGATTTATTCCTTTTCATTTTTATTTTTAACAGGCTTGCATCAGTCAAGCCATAACATATGTTCCACTGTATGATACACTCGGTATGTCATCTCTTAATTTCAGTAGGTCTAACAATGCTTCCATTTTCAGTCTTTGTGGATTTTTTGGTTGATGATTAGTTAACTAGAATTATAGTTCACCTGCTATTTTCTAAATGTGACAGTCCTATTGATTAAATTAATCTGAGCTGTTTTACTTGGTAATAGGATCTAATGCAGTGGAGTTCATTATCAACCATGCTGAAGTTTCAATAGCATTTGTTCAAGAGAACAAGTTGTCTTCTGTAAGTTCTTGTTGCCCTTAAAGCCATGTGCTCGGTTCCTTGTTATCACTCTATTCTTATTGCTTTTTACTGCAAAATTTGATCTCATTTTATTACATCCAAATTTACGGTTTTTCATAAGATCTTCAAACTTTTCATCCAAATTTTAAACTCTTGCAGATTCTATCTTGCCTTCCAGCATGTTCTTCTTACTTAAAAAGTAAGTGAAATGATGCCCCTTTTTGAAAAGATGAAAATTTCTGCTTCTATTTTCTATGGTATTGACAAAGCTAATTTATATTCCCTTTTCAGCAATTGTTAGCTTCACAAACATTACTAGTGACCAGAAGAAGAAAGCTGAAGAACTTGGCGTGTCTCTATTTTCCTGGGACGAGTTCGTGCAGCTGGTAATGTTACCACGTTGTTCTTCTTGCTAGTAAATGTTTATGTCATCTTTGACTAGGAGTTTTACTAGTCATTCAGTCTAATTTTATAAATCTCACTTGGCCACCTTTGACCAGGGAACTTTGGATTCTGAACTTCCTCCAAAACAGAAAACTGATATATGTACAATAATGTACACTAGCGGGACAACAGGAGAACCGAAAGGCGTCATGCTTACAAATGGGGCTATCATGGCAGAAGTGTTGACAGTAGACCAACTGATAGCCCTAAGAGACACAGCGGTAAGAAAGAAAACAAGATCTCATTTTTGGAACCAAACCACACATCCTATCCTGTTATCTTATTCCTTTCAGTAAAAGAACTACTGCTATTAAAAAAAAATTTGTGCTAGATTGTTTAAGTGTTCATAACTTTAGAGAAGCATTCCTTCTTTCCAAGAAGAAAGCTTGTTGTTTATTTTTCATTAACATTTATTTTTCTATTGTAGTGCTCAGAAGAAGATACATATTTCTCCTTCCTTCCTCTGGCACATGTATATGATCAGATAATGGCAACGTATTTCATTCACAGGGGTTCCTCAATCGGATTTTGGCGAGGCGTAAGATTAAGATTGCAATGATCTGTTTTTACATTTTTCCCTCTTTACTTTACAAATGTACCTAAGGTGATCCTCTGTGCCTCCAGGATGTCCGAGGTTTGATGGAAGATGTTCAAGAACTGAAGCCGACTGTATTTTGTGCGGTTCCAAGAGTTTATGACCGTATATATACTGGTATGCTCATTGCATCCTGTTCATGTATAATAATGTTGTCATGTATTGTTGATTTTAGTTATGTTATTCTAAGCATCATTGAATGAACCTTGTGATTGAAGGTATTGTCAATAAAATTTCATCTGGAGGTTTAATACAGAATAAACTGTTCCAGTTTGCCTATAACTAGTAAGTGCTAAACTCCACGTTGACTTTATTTGATGGTGTTCCTCCGCTTCTATTCTCCTACTAATATAAGACGCTTACGACAGCAAATTACAAAATATGGAGAGTGGACTGCCACAATACAAAGCAGCACCTTTGCTTGACAAATTGGTCTTTGATAAGGTTAGACATACAGACAGTCTCCTCTATTTACTCTGAGATGCCTGCTTTATATTCCTCTTAAAAAATGTGTTGATTATTGTAGGTAAGACAAGCATTAGGAGGCAGAGTACGCATTTTGCTATCTGGTGCTGCACCTTTGCCTAGGCATGTTGAGGAGTTTTTGAGGGTTACCTGTTGTGCTAATTTATCACAAGGATATGGTAAGAAGTGTTTTGGTCCTGAAATATAGGAAGTCTAATTGAAGATACTATGACCATATTTTGCCCTCAATCCACAATATAAGTTGCAAAAACAATTCCGCACCCATAACTGCTACTATCTTCTGATATCTTTAATGTGACAGGTCTTACTGAGAGCTCAGCTGGATGTTTTACATCTCTGGCCAATGTGATGTCTATGATGGGAACTGTGGGGGTTCCAGTTACAACTATTGAAGCAAGGATTGAGTCTGTACCAGATATGGGATATGATGCACTTGCTACTGTGCCACGTGGAGAAATCTGCCTTCGGGGAATTACATTGTTCTCTGGTTACTACAAGAGACAAGATCTAACTGAAGAAGTCTTTGTTGATGGGTGGTTTCACACAGGTAAAGACCTCACAATATACAACTAGAAAGTTGCATTAAGTAGAGATTATTCTACCTAGACATACTGACACAAACATATATTGGGCTTGTTACAGGCGACATTGGAGAATGGCAACCAGATGGATCAATGAAAATCATTGATAGGAAAAAGAATATATTCAAGCTTTCCCAAGGTGAATACATTGCTGTGGAGCGCATTGAGAACACCTACTCGCACTGCCCTCTTATAACATCAGTATGTGTCTGTCCTGGTCATGGCTGATACCAAAGAAGTGGAATTGACACAGATGGAAAGATTGAATTTCTGTTTAAACCTTTCAATTTATTATGCAGATTTGGGTTTATGGGAACAGCTTTGAGTCATTTCTGGTGGCTGTGGTAGTCCCTGAAAGGCAGGCACTTGAGGATTGGGCAACAAACAATCATGAAGCTGTTGATTTTAAAGCATTGTGCAACAACCCGAAAGCAAGGAAGTACATTTTAGAAGAACTCAATAGCATTGGTCAGAAAAACCAAGTATGTATACTTATTCTGATATTCCTTATTCCTAACTCTACAATCAAAATTTTCTTTCTCAAACTAATTGAAAAATGAAATATGCACAGCTTAGAGGTTTTGAGTTGTTGAAAGCAATCCATTTGGAGCCGAATCCCTTTGACATTGAAAGAGATCTTATAACTCCAACATTTAAGTTGAAGAGGCCACAGTTGCTCAAATACTACAAGGTACCGTCTGTGCTTTCTCTTACTATACCATGAAAGTTTAATAATATCACAAGCACCTGATTTACTTGCATTAACCTCTCTGCACTGCAGGATCGCATTGATCAATTGTACAATGAAGCAAAGGTGTTGAAGGTATGAGAGGGGCTAGAACTTGTTTGTGACCTTTAATGAAAGAAAAATTTGGACTCTTGAAGCTCTTTGAACAGCAATCGTCGTTACCTTTAGTACATGAATAAGTGTTTCGGTACTTTGCTGAGTAATTATATGAATTTTACATCAAAAATGTCTTCATTACCACTATAAGAGGTGATACCATTTCCTGTCAATAAAATTTGGATCAAGTGCCTCTTACTCTCTTCTTATTTCCAAAGCTCTTTTATGTTAATGGAATTGGGAAGCATATGGATGGCTGAAACTGATTAGCTAACCATATCAAAGAATATTAAACCATGGAAAGTGTTTTGATATTATCTTCAACACCAAAATCGCATTCAACTGAACGAAAATTATACCTTGAAAAAATAGTTTTTGGCATTCAACACAATAGTGCAGCAAGCAATGTTCTTGGGGGGGTTATTCTTTCTATATCAGTGCAGGAACATGATGAAACAATAAGTTGGATTTTTAAAACAGGAAAAACATGTTTATTAGTCTCAACAGATTGATGATACAGAGGAGACGTTTCAAATATCAACGAACCTCAAACAATTCACAGGCTTCTAATTATGCTGAACTTATAAGAGGTCAATTACCAATGCCCAGGCAGGATACACCAACAGAATGATGATGCCAATTGTGTTTGATAAGCCCTTGGCTCTTGTGAAGGAATTTCGAAACCCGTCTGATGCACGAATATGTTCTTGAAGAAGATAACAGGCAATGGCAAGGCATATTGCAACTCCAATCCAGCTGCCTCTTAGGGTGCTTGCAAGTAAACTAGGAGCAACCACTATTAGAAGAATTAGAGCGCCCGGTATTTCTAGCCAATCTGCATCACAGAAACAATCAGAATCACAGAAGAAAAAAAAAAAAAAAGGAAAAAAAGAGGACACAATGCAATCAGGTACTGCATGCAGGTAACCTTCTATCTGCAATCAAAGGGAGATGGAAACGGAAAGGTGCTAGATAGATTGATATTATACCTGGGAAACGTTTAGGGAAGAACAAGCGCAACACAACAGCAATAAAAGCAATCCATTTTCCAACTTCTCCGCTGCAAGCCAGACAATTTAGCCTTGAAATTACATAAATAATTTTGAGACACATGAAAAAGTTGATTATCTATACTATTGATTACCTGAATATGTTGAAAATTAGAGAAGGAAGACTGGAGAAGATATATGGGATCAAAAGCACTGTGAGAATATTTGTTCGCCAATGTGTTCGGTCCAAAATCAGTAAGTAGCTGCATTAGGCATTACAAAGAAATAAAAATAAATCATTAACTGAATCATAAGTTATTCTTCTTTCCTTTTCACCAACTTAACTACAACCATGAAGATCACCACTTCTTTTTTCATTTTATGGATCAACATAAACCCACCACCTACATGTATAAATAAATACAGAGTATGTAAAGGGAGAAGGGTGGCATACATTGCAGCGAAAGATGCAACCAATTCAAGCAACGAAGTTCCAAAACCCATAAGAGCTAACTTGAGTGCATGATTGGCAAGCTTCTTAGCAGCAAAAGTGAGTTCTTTGAAATCAGAAGAGATGATGAGATCACTCGTATCCTGACGCTGCACATCCCTCATTGTTGCCACGTAACCCTTCCTCACTCTCTTGAAGATGGAAGTATACCCAAAAACACAAAGGAAAAGTAGAGGAAGAAAAAGAAACCCTTGTGGGTGCAGGAAGAAACGAAGCTTCCTGAGCGATGAAATGGAGACAAAGCAAGGGACTGTTTAACCGTTGGTTCTGTTGAGTGTAGAAGCCAATAGAAAAACAGCTAACGTTGGCATTAACCAGGACGATCTATTTGGCCGGTAATGATGATCACGTGAGACGTGTATGCGGTGGATCTATGCTCGCTAGTCTAATTAACAGCCGTCACATTGATAATCTGTCATTTTGATTTAGAATTGTACTACTATAAATTAAGGCAAGGAAGATAAAAAATTAAGAATATAATTATTATATTTTTTATATTAGTTAAGGTTTAAAATATAAAATTATTATTAAATTTATTATTATTATATGAATTATTTTAATTTAATAATTATTTAAATAAATTTTTTTATGCTCGCTAGTCTAATTAACAGCCGTCACATTGATAATCTGTCATTTTGATTTAGAATTGTACTACTATAAATTAAGGCAAGGAAGATAAAAA